AGTCAAAGATCTGCTCGGTTTTCATCTCGCCTTCTTCGATCTTTCAAGTGAGTTGATACCCTATAAACTATGCTTTTTAAATGTTTTAATAAATGCTTTTTATACAATATTAAGGGGGGGGGGGGGGGAATCAAGTAAAACACACGTTATTATCTTGTGTAACCTAAGTTTCACTATATAAACTTTTATCTAAGTAATCATATGTGATTCATAACTACTACATGAGTATTCTCGTATGAAATATATATTCTCGATAACACTTGTCTTGTGGAAATAAAACGTGTTTATATATAATATATATATATATATATATATATATATATAATATTATATATATATATATATATACAATCAAATACTCAATTTTTACATTAAGTATATGTGATCAGTTATGTCACCTGACATGTTATATTTTACATAACAGGTGAGTATTACACTAGGGTTTACTATACGAACGAAACACATTTTGAAAAACTATAATATGTATAGTTTATGAGGAAATCATGAACATTTACATACTAGTAACACTACATCAAAGAGATATTTTTATATACAAGAACAAATGGACATTTTTATACGTAAATCTGTTTTATACTAAATTTTGTGAGACATTTCATGTACTTTCGAGTATGCATTTTAAGTCCTAAATTATGTACCATAATCCCTTGTAAGGGGAGCGTGATACTTGTGTATAGATCTATACGGGATTGACAATCCCACACCTAAGTTGTTTGCTACAGCTAGGCCGACAGGTCTAGGGTGACAACGTCATAACTTTCCAATGCCTGAAGAACATTGATAAAGGCATCCTGGTCAAGTAGCATGGTTATAAGACTCACATAGGGTATTAAAAACACATTGATTTACGGGGTTTTTCAAATGCCTTAACGATTTACACATAAAACTACTATTTTACGCATGAAAAGCACTATTACATTACAGTTTTGGAACAATCAAACTACCATCTACTATAGTAGAAAATATGGGATTTTCTTGGAACATTTAACATGAACAAACCATTTTCATTCTTTTTCATATAAACATTGTCACTAAATACTTATGAACTCACTAGCTTAAATGTTGACCTACTCTTTCAAAACCACTTGTATTTCTCAGGGATTCAGTAATACAGGTAAACTGCAGCTTTTGAAGAAGGGACGTTGCGGTGTTAGTTTAATTTCATTTTAATAATCATATTTTAATTTATTTTAATACAAGTACCTTTCAACAATGTAAACTTTTAAATTATATATGTGATGGTTGTATTGCTTTCTTTACTATGTATTCAATTGTTACGATACTACATGAAGTCATCCACCCTCGAACGATTCTGCCGTTCTGGTTTGGGGGTGTGACAGGGTGTGCACTGGAATTGAATCGGTGGTGGCTTGAAAAAGTAAAAAAGTGGAACCGCTGAGCCCAAAATGTTGTTGATTAGCAAGCCCAAAATGTTTTGTGGGTTACCAAAATACCAAGCCGAATATTCAAGCACCAACCAAGCACAGAATATTGAAAAAAAACATATGGATGCTTACGTGGAAACCACTTAGATGGATTTTGCTGATCTGGCTTCTGCTGAAATGTCAAGCTGAGAATTCTCCTCATTTCAAATGGAGAGCAAAGAAAATAGGGCCTTTACTTATATAATAATGATATATATATATATATATATATATATATATATATATATATATATATATATATTATTAAGCATATTGCCTCTTTCTTGAAAATTAAGAGGTACAATACCTATTATTACATGTACAATAATATTAAACTTATAATCACATGTATATGTATAGGTATACACGGTATTACTTAACATATAGGTATACACGGTGTTAGCAAATCGAAGATGTTACCCTAATCTGCTCAAAACACAACACTACACACATCAGCCGCCATCTATTCAAAATCGAAACCCTCTTCTTTCCCTCTCTCTCTCTCTCTTGTCGTCGTTGCTGAATGTCTCAGCGCCTGCACCGTCGCCACCTGACCTCGGATGGTACACCACAGGATCTTCGAAGGATCACGGAAGTGAATGGGACCATGATATGACTTGGTGTTCATATGCTTATGGAGAAAATGAAGGTACTTCATTTTCTGACGAGTAAGACCACCAGAGAGGCAGATCTCTTCAGTGCGCACAACAGTGACCTGCTAAACATTGAGAAGCTCCTTCTCCAAGATAGAAGACAATCGACCGAGCATATGGTGGCGAGCGTTTACCACTACATCCTTTACGCAACTACCTGATCTACATCACCTGCCAAGCTTCCACCTATGTCGTTGGAGAAGCCGTATGGGCCACCAGACTGAAACTTGGCAGCGACTCTGTCGGAATCGAATACAACACTCACCGTAACATCAGAATCGTACTTTTTACCCTAGGAACCATTAAGGTATGCAAAAATCGATCACATTTTTCATAATTTCTTGTCGATCTTCTGTAAAAATTGAAACTGATATTGTTGGATATGTGACTTATAATGAATAATCTTGAGGGGTTTCTTTGTTCAGGATAATAAAATATATTCCAATCCAAGTGGTGTTAGTATGGGGGATCAGACTGGTTTTCAACTGATTGATGTGGAGGATACATATGATTTTACTGAGCTTGTTTCAAAGCGTGATGGCCCTGTCACTTTCCTATAGTTGCTGCATATTCCTGCAAACCCTGATGGCAATGAGAAGTTCCTATCATTACATTTGTTGCTAATAGTGGTTGCAAGTGATGAAGCCACCAGGACCACCATGGGTCAAAACCGAAGCTATTTGAGTCCAGCTGGCAGGGATGGTTCAGTTGTGTCTCATTAGTTTCACTGGTTCCCTGGTTAATTCTTTGTTGTTTATAATTTCACAATCTATATATATTTTCTATATAATTTTACTCGACTGAAGTGTTGTAGATTTGTAGAAAGGTGGAGACTAGATTCTCATTCTTGGATAAACAGGGGATCCATGGTGTAGGATTTTGGATATGCGAATGTAGCTGTGGGGCTTCATTTACATCCTTGGATCATTTGATGCTCCTTTTTTATCCTTCTTTTTTCCTAATGTTTCAATACACCCGTGATTAAATACACATGGGATCTCATTGTTTATTTATTTAATTGGACGGTATGACAAGGGTTGGAATCTTTCAAGTAAATTATGCCCTTGTAAAGGTACTGTTTTAAGTTTCCATTGGTGTAGTTTCAGATCATTTATACTTAATTTTGAAAGCTACTCTACACAAACTGCAAAATGCAGGGCCTTTGTCCATATTAACAAACAAATTAAGTAGTTGAAATGAGTTTTATGAATGGAGAGGCATCCCTTTATAGCATTGCACTACCACTTCCGCCCTTAATAGCAATGTGAGTAAAAAGAGGGGTAATATAGTCATTTTTTTGTTTTCTCTTAATTCATCATTTTTGTTACATATCATCACAAATCGATTGGTGCTAAAACTTTTATAGTGTTTCCTTTTAAAATATAGTGCATGAGTAGTTCGTTTAAAAGGTCAGTCCATCTGATCTAAGTAGTGCTTTCTCTTTGACTCTTTGTGTGCAGTTCTTTAGCACCGAGCCTTATGCTTGTGAACCATCAGACTTACCAAAATACCCTCCAAGCATAGAAATAGATGTCAAATTGAGGGAGGAGGAAGCTAGAAGGTTGTTATGTTGTATTTTATTTAAATTATTTTTTTCTTCATAATTTGGTCTGAATGTTAATAATGGAAATCACATTACATTTTTTTCCATATAGGCAAAGAAGTCTAAGCAGTTAATCTCATGTTGTGGATGGAAATAGAAGAACAAGGAGATGGAATCCATGGAGACGAAACTATAGGAAAGGCACATGCATGGCAGAGCATATGTGTACCAAAGCAAATAGTTTGACAGAAGAATCCATGGAGATGGAACGATAGGTTTTGTAGGCGATATTAATGCTTTTGAAGCCACTTTTTTATTTAATGACAAATCTAATCTACTCCTATACTACTCCTAATTCTCCACCTATGTCCTTCACGGGACTTGAACCCTCAACCTCAAGGAAAGAAGGCAACACCAGATACCGTTGGGCCAGAAGCCCTTTTAAGCCACTTTGATGTAAGAACTTGATTGTTCTTAGAATTTCATTAATTATCATTTTTTTTAATTACTCAAAACAAAGTCACAGAATAAAACAAATTGATTAATTTTTTATGGTGAAATAAAAATTATAATATGCTTTAAGTGAGGTTTCTAAAATTATTTCGATATTATTTATCATAACATATTCAATTTGTGTTAATTTGGTAGAATTTATCTTAAGAAAACTTTCGCATGTCAAAATGCCATTTTGTTTTGTGTAACATGTTTCGGATTAGTAAATTCTGATTTAATTGTTTTTTTTTTTTTTTTTTTTTTTTTTTTTAACGTCTTTTATTATGATCTTTATGATGATTGCAGTTTAATGGTTAGAAATTTCTTCAGACCATTAGGTGTTATAATCCCAAGTTATTGTTACGATCTTAAATTTTAACAATCTTTATATCCACACATTCATATTTAAGTCTACTACAACTTTCGTTTAGATTACTCCCGTTAAAGATTAATATATTTTTACTTATGATCTTTATATACATGCGTTCTTTATAAATATATGTATGAACGTTTTTTTTTATAAAATCGTAAGTAAAAATATTACTTTTTAATGAGAGTAATATAAACGAAAATCATACCAGACTTATATACGGACGCGTGGATATAAAAATTATTAAAATTTGAGATCGTATTAAGAAGTTATGACATTCAAAATACAAAACCTAAACACCAAACAATTGAGGTCGCGGTGGCCATAAGCATCAACAACCCAAAACGCATATTTAATGATTGTTCCACATGGGATGTCTTGAGAAAAATCTAAAGAAACCGATCATATATACTGATAGGGTGTTTGGCTTATCTTTTGAGAGGCTAAAAGGACTTTTCCCCAAAGTTACAAAAATCAAGAAATCCTAACTTTTCCAAAAAAGTCATTTTTTCTTATATCAAAATCCCAAAAATAGCTTTTAAAATACTTTTACCAAACATCTTTTTCCTTCTATCTTTTTCAAAAAGTTCTTTTGGTCTTTCAAAAGATAAGCCAAACACCCCCTGAATGTGTACAAAAACAATGACTTATTTTGCAACAATAAAATATTAAGTGCAAAAAAATATAATGACTAAATGTGTACAAAATAAGAAATATATTATCCTATTAAGTTATTTTTTCGGTTTAACAGGTCCTAAAGACTAAATATGTACAATTAAATAAGTTGAAGGGGTAAATATAAACTGAAGAAAAAAAAAATGAACTCATTGACTAATTATACACAAAATTGAACTACATTTTTAAGGGATTATCCCTATACATTTTAAGTTTATCCCTATAAGAAAGCATAATTTTTTAACCTTGAAAAGGAACTTCAGTTAAATATATTTTTTTTTTCTTTGTCCATTTAAATTTACATAACTCTTTCTCTCTCATCAAAATTCAAGATTGCAAAATAACGAAAAATTGGAAAAGGAAGTGAAAGACCTAAGAAGAAAAGCACCTCCTGTTTCTCTTTCTTTCCCTTCCCCTCCCCATCTTCATCTTTAACCCGAAACAGGGGAGGAAAAGACGGATTTGGAACAAAAAGAGGCAAAACCCTAACAAATTTCATGTAAATTTGATCCTCTCTTTGTGGGTATTGTTGGTTTTTCTTTAATTTGGAACCATGGATTACGATAGCATTGAATGCGTTTCAACCTCCGATGGATTGGGCAACGAAGAGATCCCACATCATCATCATCATTTTACGTCATCCAAAACTCACAACGTCAATGTTATTCCTTCAAAAATCCATCCCACCAGTGTCCATGAACTTCTTGAATGCCCTGTATGTACAAACTCAATGTACCCTCCGATTCATCAGGTTCTCTATCTTTTCTCCTCTTAATCCTTATGATTCTGATTCTCAATTTTATATCTATTGTTGCTATTGTTCGATTTGGATGTGACTTAAACCTACGTTGATAGAATGTTATATGTATTGATTTTGGGTTTATGATTCTTTTCTTGTGGTTGAAGGTTTGTGTGATTCGAGGGTTTTTAAGATTAGCTATCCTGCGTACTACTTTGAGAATTGAGGATTGATATGAATCTACTGTATGTAAAGAATAGGATTTTGTAAACATAGTTAGAAGTTTGAGTTAAGATTAAGAGCTGATAATTCTAGAACAAAACATATTAGGGAAAGTGAAAAGGAAAGGTTAATGAAGCACAAAATGTATTAACTATTAAATATATGTGTATGTGATGAATGTGTAACTAACTATGGTCAAATCTATATCATCAAACACTTAAAGAGAAAGATGTTTTTATGACAGTGTCACAATGGACACACGCTTTGTTCGACATGTAAAACACGTGTGGAGAACAGGTGTCCAACATGCAGACAAGAGCTTGGTGATATAAGGTGTCTTGCATTGGAGAAAGTGGCTGAATCCCTTGAATTCCCATGCAAATACTTCCCACTTGGGTGCCCTGAGATCTTCCCGTATTACAGCAAGCTTAAACACGAACTCATCTGCAATTTTAGGCCCTACACCTGTCCATATGCTGGATCCGAGTGCTCTGTTGTTGGTGATATTCCATTCCTAGTCACTCATTTGAGAGATGATCATAAAGTGGACATGCATTCCGGATGCACTTTCAATCATCGTTATGTCAAGTCCAATCCACGCGAAGTTGAAAACGCCACCTGGATGCTTACGGTTTCTCTCTCTCTCTCTCTCTCTCTCTCTCTCATCTCAGTGATTATATATTTAATTTTGATTATTTTTCAAACCACTGACTTTGACAGGTGTTCAACTGTTTTGGGCAATATTTTTGTCTGCACTTTGAGGCATTCCAGCTGAGCATGGCACCAGTGTACATGGCATTTGTGAGATTCATGGGAGATGAAGAGGATGCAAGAAACTACAGTTACAGTTTGGAGGTGGGAGGAAATGGAAGGAAGCTGATATGGGAGGGGACACCAAGGAGCATTAGAGATGGGCATAGGAAGGTGCGTGATAGCCACGATGGTCTCATCATACAGAGGAACATGGCTCTCTTCTTCTCCGGTGGTGAAAGGAAAGAGCTTAAACTCAGGGTTACAGGCAGGATTTGGAAAGAGCCTCCTAACCCTCCTGATGCTGCTGGAGGACCTTGTGTTCCTAATCTTTACACTTAGTTCTTAAAAAAATTTAAGATTTTTCTTTTTTTTCTTTTTGGGGTTGGATTGATTTCCTTGGTTTCTTGTTGATTGTTTATTTTGTGGAGTTGATGGATGGATGGATGGAGAGGCCTTGAAGAAGATCTTTATAATGTTTGATCCGGGAATGGGATGATGTTCTTTCTTTGTATTTTCTAATTGTTGGTGATGACAATCTTTGTTGTTCCATTTGTTTCTATAATTGTATAAATATAATGGCTTGCACTTAAATTGGCAATTCATCTTTTGATGATCACAAGCTTTTAATTTGTTTTGTTTTTTTTAGTTTGGGTTTTTGTTCTAATGTAAGGAAAGTTTAACTATATATATATATATATATATATATATATATATATATATATATATATATATATATATATATATATATATATATATATATATATATATATATATAGGTAAGAAACATATTTTATTATGTACATTTATAAAGTAAAAAAAAAAAAAACTAAAACACAAATTTGGTCCCGTTTGCCCAAACCATCAATT